TTCAAATTCAATTGTTAACAATTTCCTAATAATTTTCATGCAAATCTTTAATTCAAATTCAAATGTTAACAATTTCCTAATAACTTTCCTACAAAATTGCCCGCATAAATAATGATAGATATGAAATTTAGTAGTATTCAAAAGTTAAAGAGTAATTCAAATTGTGGAGAATTTAAAATGGTACGAGTTTGCATCATTCATTTTAGTAAAAAAAAAAACTTAAGTGAATACTAAAAAATTAACTTCATTTAATTAACTTGCACTAATTATACCGTCCATGCAAAGAAAAAAAAAACACAATTATATTTATGCAATTAAAAAAAGTGTATGCTACAACATTGGATATTAATCCATACATCATAGGTACTCACTTAATAAATCTTCACCACATCATTTGTTGAATAACAAACTTAATAACGGAAAAAAAAATAAAAAAAAAATGGGACTATGTTTACTTGAAAGACTATCAACACGTGTACAGATTTTTAAATTCATTTTCAAATTAAAACTTTAAATTCGTACTCAAATTGAATTGAATAATATAATTTAATTAGAACTGTAGGAGTTTCTTAGAAAAAACTATCAAGCAATTTGCATTGATTTTCAAAAACAGATAAATACTGATTTCTAAAATTACGGGGATTGTTTACTTGATATAGATTATGACCACGTGTACAGATTTTAAAACCATCATGAAATTCAAATTGGAATAATACGATTTAATTAGAATTGTAGGAGTTTGTTAAGAACAAAAACTTTCTGTGAGTTTGCATTGATTTTCAAAAACAAATAAATACGGATTTCTTTTATAAAAAAATCATTTATTTGTATTTCATCATAAATCTCAAAGATGTGTACTTTGTTGATACGTGTTTGAATAAAAATCTTAATAACAACGAGACTTTAAAATCATTACATAAAATTGATAAATGAAGTATATGCAGCGTAGAATTGTTAAGTCTCCGTTTATTTTATACATTTGAATACAAATTTTGATAATGAGATTTTAAAATTATTATATAAAATTGATAAATGAAGCATATGCATAAAGCATGGAGTTATTAAGCCTCCGTTTAATTTATACTCAAATTGATGATGAAATACTTTTCAGTATCATCTCAATATTATTTATATATAATATGTAAATCTTCTCTCAATTTTAATATTTTAGACATAAATTTTTTTATGTTCTTTATATAAAGTAAATTTTATCACATGTAACCCCACATCTTTAATTTATAATTATAGTTAATATTGCTTATCCTAATATTTAATTTATAATTATTATTAGTATTATTATTATTTTTTTTGGTACAATGAAAGAGGCCATAAGCTTATATTAGGACTCGACGGGGATACGACACTCCAATAATATCATGCTCTAACCAAACTCCCAGAACCGAAGGCGAGGAACCTACTCGCTGAAGGTTGAGATTATTAGTATTATTTACCCGTGCATAGCACGGGCTACACACTAGTGTGTCTAATAAGTTTTGCATTTCCTTTATCTATTATTTGAATACCTATAAGATGCAAGAACAATGTGGATTTTAAAGTCAATAAATATAATAATTTATTATAAATGTTTAAACAACCTGTTATCGACAAGATTGCATATGATCCCACTTTTAAAGAGAGACCGTACGGTTTAACCCCCGAAACCACTCTTTTCAATACATATTTAATATAACAACTCGAGCCCTTTATTAATAATTAAAAAAAAAATGTTTCTAATTAATTACCTTTTGTTTATAAATATATTAATTGCTAAATAATTTTATTTTTCTAATTAATATTAAAAATTTATTATTGTTATAAATATCAATATAATTTATTTTTTATACATACAATATAGATGTTAAATCGAAGTTCATCAAGAGATGATTAATTTGATATATTATATATGTAAAATTGATAAAAAAAATATAAAAGTTATTAACTTTGGCAAAGATTAAACCAAAATATATTATAATATTAAGCAAAAAATCTTATTTACACGGCATATAAGAATCCTATTTATTTTGGAGTTGGAGGGGATTGGATTAAGCAAAAATCCTATTTATTAAGTATTTTATTTTAAACAATCAGGGAATGGAGGGGATTGGATTAAGCCAAAACATATTATAATATTGGTATAGGATTCTTATATTATAATAATTTTTATCTGAACCAAAAGCCGAAGCATGTAACGTTACTAAGTAAGCTTCCGAAGCGTGCGAGCCAGCCATTTAGGCTCAACACGTTTTGAAATTATATTTGAAATTATATTTGAAATTATATTAATTTGATATATTATATATGTAAAACTGATAAAAACTATAAAAGTTAATAACTTTGGCAAAGTTAAACCAAATATATTATAATATTAAAGTATTTTATTTTAAACAATTAGGGAATGGAGGGGATTGGATTAAGCCAAAATATATTATAATATTGGTATAGGATTCTTATATTATAATAATTTCTATCCGAACCAAAAGCCGAAGCATGTAATGTTTCCAAGTAAGCTTCCGGAGCGTGCGAGCCAGCCATATAGGCTCATCACGTTTTGAAATTAGATTAAGGGGATGACAATTGAATATATCCATTATATGTCGGTAATTGGTATAAATAATATTTAATTTTATCTATCAAGTTTATATACAACTAGATCTATGTAACCCCTCCTATATATTAATTCAGGACGTGCTGAGCCTAAGTGGCAGGCTCGTGTGGTTCGGGATCTTGTGGCAAAATTACATGTTTCGTTATTAGGCTTGGGTAAATTTTAATTTACTTCTAATCCAAAAATAATTAGGTTCGGACATCCATAAATATGTTGATTATTTATGGTCACGTTATATGTATTAATTGCATTTTAATATCATTCCTCATTATAACCATTGAATTGTAAATGTATTTTAAAAGTTAATAACTTTTGTATTTTTTATCAGTTCTACATATATAATATATCAAATTAATCATCTCTTGATGAGCTTCGATTTAACATCCATATTGTATGTATGAAAAAAATAAATTATATTTATCTTTATAACAATAATAATATTATTTTTTAATATTAATTAGAAAAATAAAACTACTTATCAATTAATATATTTATATTTCAAGTAGTTATATGATATAAGTTATAAGAATTACAATAATATAACACATGTAAGTCGTACAAGTAACAAGTGTCATTCTAAAATATATAATAGTAAATATATATATATATTGTAAATAAGTAAATAAAAATTAAAATAATTTTTCTTATTAATTTTATAATTTAAGAATAATTTTTTAACAAGTACCCGTGTAATACACATGTGTTGTACTAGTATCATATTATATCTGAACAATATTAATTTAATATTTAACCAATTTAAAACTTTCAAATATATATACATTGATAAATATTTTATAAATATCTATTTTATTTAAATATGAATTTGTATTTATATTAAAAATATTAAATATAACAAAATTTACTTAAAAAATCCTACCGACTTATTTTGACCGGTTTACTAGCAAACATTTTAATAAAGTGAACTGATCGATAAATTGATTCTTAATTCACCCGATCTACTTTTCTGTCCGTTTCAATTTTATGTAAATCATGATTAGTGTTATTCATATATTTAATTTATATTATAATATAATTATAATAATATTTTTTCGTGCATAATCTCACCGACCACACAATATTTAAAATATAAAAAGTTTATGAATTTGGTGGGGATGAAAGAATTATTACAAACGCACCTGGGATGTCTTTGGAAATTAAATTAGAATGGGTTTTCCTCCAACAAAGCGATGGCGTAAAATTTGAGGAGATTCGAAAAATAACACACTCGCCCTCCCTCCCAATCTCCATATTCATTCATAAACTCCTTCCCTTGGAATTTCTTCTTCCACATCGTCTCATCATCTCATTCTCAATCTTTCGTGCCTTTTGATCAACCCCAGAATTCTGGCTGCTTCAGACAAGAGAATCTTTCACAAGATTTGACTTATTTTGGCGAGGCTGTGAATATCTGTTGAAGCTTGCTCATCGACAGGACGTGCTATTTCGTATCTTTTTTTTTTTAATCACTTTTCCCTGATTGTTTCGGAGTAATTCTTTAAGGTATTATCAAGGTTGGGTCAAAGTGGAAATGGCCACTGAGTTTTTAAGATATGTGGTTGTTGAGATGTTAAACGGTATGATTGGTTTGCTAAGAGTCACTTGCTGTGTCGTTTGTTAATAGTATGGTCCCCTCCATTAAGTTTGGCAGATAAGTTTGTGGGACCTTTTTGTACATTCTCAAGATCGAAAAGACATGAAAAAAGCTTTCCCTTTTTGATTCAATTAGAGTCACCTGAGTGCATTTCATCGAATTGGAGGAAGGAAAAAGGGAGGGACATTGTTGAGTAAAAATGCCTCAAGAAAGAGTTGAGTTTCCACCTTCCTTTGACTCGATTAAATCGATGCCTGCCAATTTAAGGTTTGTGGGTGAAGATAGAATGATATTATCGGACATGGTGTTCGAAGATGTACAAGTTTCTAGTGATTCTGCACAATGGCCAGCTGATGGTAGGAGTGATGTTGGTCCAGATAATGATGAGTCGCCCTATTCTTTACTGGATATGTCTGCCACCGATGAAACATCATCATATGATGATCCTAAGGATAGCACTCTCCCTGTAAACTCATCTGAACAATCTCAAGAGGATTCCAAGTGGAGTGACACCACGTCATTCGCATCAAATAAGCTAAAAGTATGTGGTGACTTGCGTCGTTCTTTTGTGTTATGTGTTTATTCCATTCTTTTATATATTTTGGCTTCAGTTATTCATTCCTTTATTAGATTCCATGTCTATTTATTACCCACTCGTACTTGTTGCGTCTGGTGTTCTGCAGCGAATGTTTGCTTTTGCAGTAAATGATTGGGTAGAAATATTGGCAGAAATTATTTTCTTCACTCTCTTGCTTAATTGTATTGATTTGTTCTTGAGTACTGTACAAGCTCCTTACTTGCTTATATGTATTACAATCGATTGATTGAAAAATACTAAGGTAAAAATGGTATTAGTAGACAGGTGATTGGATATTTGTTTGGTCTTTAGAATCACTAGCCTAAGTTGAGAAAATTCATCTTGTTTTCTTTGTAGCATGTCTGAAGTTTCTTGAATATTTCTAGTTGCTGTTATGGAGATTAATTCAATTTTCAGTTAAAATCGTGACTATTGTGCTTTTGATGTGAACCTTTTTTTATCTAGTTTACGTGTAAGAGGTGAAAGTTGAATCTGAAGCTTTTGTTAAATGTTATCCAGTTGTTTTATTCTCATGTCATGACTATTTTGCTTGGGAATGGTATTCTAACCAAAAAAGAGTGTTATTTATGTATTTATCTACTTACTTATGTTCTATTTTATTTGCTCCTTGTATCCGAAAGTTGTGCACCTTGTTTTCACCTTGCACCTTAGGCTCCTGAAACCTTTTCTGGTTGGTGCTTTTTTCACCTTTTATAACTATGAACCTGATGCAGGGTTTCTAACCCAAATTCTTTTACCAAAATAAAGACAAAAACTTGATAAACGTTTTTTTAAAAATTAAATAGCTTCATATGAAGTCATCTTACCCAGATTAATTCCAATGATTAAGCACCTTATTATCAGGTTTGTTTTTCAGAAGCTTCAGTCATGGTTTCAACATCCTGATGGTAACTGGGAGCTGGGAACCATTCTTCAAGCTTCCGCTAACAAGTCATTGATATCATTGGCTGAGGGAAAAGTGAGCAGTCATTTCGTCTCTCATTATATTTTTACAAAGTTGTTTTCTTCTCTAATCATTTTCTTTATTTAGGTTTTGGAAGTGAATTCAGAAACCCTGGTGCCAACGAATCCTGATATACTTGATGGTGTGGATGATCTTATGCAACTAAGCTACTTAAATGAACCATCAGTATTATCTAACCTTGAGTATAGATATAATCAGGATATGATCTATGTAAGTGATAATCCATACTTTGAGATTTTCTCTTCATTTTCTGGTTTGCTACGCTGTTGAGGTATGTTTTTATCATGTTGCTGTTATTTCAGACTAAAGCAGGACCAGTTCTGGTTGCACTTAATCCCTTTAAAAAAGTCCCTTTATATGGAGTTGAGTTTATTGAAGGTTACAAGCGTAAATCTATGGGGAGCCCACATGTCTATGCCATCACTGATACAGCTATGCGTGAGATGATCCGAGGTAATTAGTATACAACTACGTAAAACTTCAAAAATTACTATCAGAGCTCCAATTTCAGTAATAATTCGATCTTTTGGTGTTATCTATCCACAGATGAAGTGAATCAATCAATCATTATAAGGTCAGTTATACACTAATGCTCTCATATTGGGTCACTACTTTTTATTGTGTATAATATCTTGCAAGGAATTTTCTTGCCACCTCCCTTTCACTATTTCCGTTATGAGTCATGTGTCAGATATTATGTTGTTCATATCTCGTCTTAGCTGAAATTCCATTTTAATTGAGAACTCTGTATTCTGTTCTTCAGTTTCCCTTGGTATCTGTTTTGTCAGTTGACATGGTTATCTATTCAAGCAGCATCGGCATTCATATTGTATTATTATACTACAAAGTCTACAATTATTGTCACCTTCATAAGATAATTAGTTCCCGCAAACTGTCATGGTTTTTGGTGTTTGTTCTGTTTGCTTCATAGTTTTGGAATTCAATAAGTTGAAGAGGTTCTAGGGTTGTCCTTTTTCATTATAAAAACAGTGCTAATTGGTTTTGAACCTAGATCTTTTGTCTTGTGTTACCGGCTGCAAGTTTTTCTGTAACTTGGTCCTTTGTAAGGTGAATTTATAGTGAGACAGTACTTAAGGCACGAAACTAGTGAGCTCTAGGTTTATCACTTCCTTCTTTTCCCAGCTTTTGGGATCTCGAATTGTGTAGTTGGCCATGAGAAACACTGTATGCTAACCAATTATCATCTGCTTTATGCTAATTGTCTTTGACAATATTATTTATTCGTTATGGATGTTTGCATTTCATTGGATTACTCAATATTGTATATTTAGAATCTCTGGGATATGCTGAGAAAATTCTTTCGGTACAACTATTATTTTTCTCAGCCAGTTGCTCTACTAATGATGGCCAGCAAGCTCTCTAAATCTTGCTTAGAGCTATTCTCCCTTCTGTTTCTCCTGTTGTTTTTTGCTCTCTGTCAGACTGAACTATTTGTTTTGGAGCTTTCCTAAATGACTGATTTTATATTCCTTCGCTGGTCGATGTGGATTTGTCACTTAAAAAATGATGCCTAATTAGTTATTGGCATTGTCTGTGTTTCTTTGTTACTTACTTCTGCCTTATGTAGTTATGCTTATTTTGGATAAAATTCCGTAAGATGACTACTAAGTTTGACAGGAGTTCCACGTTTCCTGAATATTTCTGTTACGAAGAACCAAATTATTTTCTGGCTGCTATAGGAAGTCAAGTTTAATAGTCGCCAATTGGTCTACCCTGAGAAGCTAGAAGACTCATATACAAATGACCATGTTATGTAATATGTATACATTTTCATACAAGTGCTCTTTAGCAAATCTATCCAAATGCATATGGATGTTGATGATACTGCTCCTTTCTATAAAAGCAAAATAAATTATGTATTAAAACATACTGACGCGAACTCACGATCATCCGAAGCTTTGTTAGAGACAGATAAACAACTAAACAACTAAACAACCCAGACCTCAATCCTACCAAGTTATGCTAAAAGTCCCACGCCCTTTGGAGCTTAAGTTAAATACAAAACTATGGCTTGTTTTTGGGGACACATCAAGAGATATGGACTCTGGAATTTCTTGCTGATGGAGTAAAGAGACCTGAAAGAGATAAACAACAACAACAACATACCCAGTATATTCCCAACAGGTTGGGGTCTGGGGGTCAGTTGTACGCAGACCTTACCTTTGTAATTATACAAGGAGGCTGTTTCCGTAGCGACCCAAGGTGCATTGCGCCGTTTGATATATATTTTTTTTTTTTTCTAGAAACTTCACTAATAGAAGAAACACTAGAATTTAATTGAGCCATTTTGATCTAGNAAAAAAAAGCCTCTACAAGATCACTAGATGTAAAATTTATATTAAATCTGTGAATGAATATATGTTGTGTGTGTGTGTGTGTGTGTCCATATATATTATTTGGATAGAGTTGGAATTTGGAACTTGATTTAATTACCATGTACATGTGTTTGTTTTTGTGTGTGTGTTTTATCATGAAGTTAACTATCTGGGGGGCTTGAATCTCGTCTTAACCAGTGGGGAAAGTGGAGCTGGAAAAACTGAGACAGCAAAGATAGCCATGCAATATTTAGCTGCTCTGGGAGGTGGTAGTGGGATAGAGTACGAGATACTTAAAACAAATCCAATTTTGGAAGCCTTTGGTAATGCCAAAACATTAAGAAATGACAACTCAAGTCGATTCGTAAGTTGCTTTGCTTCCTTCATTTCTTGGTTGGCTTGCATGAGAAATTGATATTTTGATATACTTATGGAAGTGAAGAAAACTAAGGTTTGTTTTTTGTTACATCAAATAATGGAACTATCTGCAGGGAAAGCTGATTGAAATTCACTTCAGTGAAACTGGAAAGATATCTGGTGCCAAGATTCAAACTTGTAAGACTGCAAACGCTACTACTATCTTTTCATCAGAATGTTGCCTTCTATTGTTGAGTTCAGAAGGCCTATCTAATTCATTTACTTGGTGTTTTGTGATGGAACAATTCATGGTTCTCTATAGTTTTACTGGAGAAGGTATGATATAATTTTTTGCTTTAGTGTGTCGATTATGGTAATTTGTTTTGCAAACAAAACCCTGAGAGATGCTGTTCTGGTGAGCAGTCCAGAGTTGTTCAATGTTCAGAGGGAGAAAGATCGTATCATATCTTTTATCAGCTTTGTTGTGGAGCTCCTCCCTATCTTAGAGGTACAACGATCTTGCAGTATTTGGTATTAATTTCATGTTTTCTACTGTCATGGATCTATTTGTTGGTGATCAATAACAAGATTTCTTCCAGTCTTCTACTCTCTGCCGGGTTTTGTCCAGTTCTCTCTCTTTGTCCTATTAAATTGTCTGTTTAAATTATTCTTACGTTTGTTATGTTCTTTTATGCAGAGAAACTGAACTTGAGAAATGTTGACGATTTCAAATATTTGAAGCAAAGCAATTGCTATAGAATTTCTGGGGTTGATGACGCCGAACAGTTCCGTATAGCAGTGGTATCTAATATCATCATATTCTTAATGTTAACTTTTTTTGTGTTCTGACATTTTGGACTAACTTTAACTGAGCTTTATATTATCGTCTTTCTAAACCCAGGAAGCTCTGGATGTTGTTCATGTCAAAAAGGAAGACCAAGATAGTGTATTTGCAATGCTAGCTGCAGTACTATGGCTGGGAAATGTCACGTTTACTGTAGTTGATAATGAAAATCATGTTGAACCAGTGGTGGATGAAGGTGAGATTACCTCTGGGCGAACATGCAGAAGGATAATGCTTAATGTGTTGTATTATAAACAAGTCGAGCAGCTAAAATTATTTAAGCAAGCTACCTTTATCCATTTGAGACTCATTGATTTTACTTGAGAAATGGTAACTTACCTATCTTCAGTTGTACCTACTTAACTTAATGTAATAGAAGAGGGATGCATATTCATAATGGATACTTATATTGATGATTGTATGTATTAGGTTTATGTTGACAGTTCAATTGGAATCTTTTTATCTTACTTCAATTGGAATCTTTTTATCTTACTTCAAATTAATTTACCTTGTACTGGAATATGTTAAATAAATTCTCTCTTTCCGAAATTCTTCTGGACTACATTTGACTATTTCTAAACAAACTCAGAAATTTCATGTGAACTAAGATCTGCAAGTTATCTGTCTAAAATAATAAAAGTGCATGTCTGTTAGTTTGGACAAAAGAATCCCATTACTTCTGCAAAGTGCATTAGTTTTTTTATTACTGAAGATCCAATTTTCAGGTCTAACTAACGTTGCTACATTGATTGGGTGCAACATTGAGGAACTAAAGCTGGCATTATCAACTCGAAAAATGAGAGTTGGAAAAGAAAATGATACAATCGTTCAAAAGTTGACCCTTGCTCAGGTTAGACCGTTAGGGAGCTACTTCTTTTCAGATATTGTTTACACAATGACATCAATAAGAACTCTGCTTAACAAGTCTCATGACTTCTTTTAATACTTCCCATTGATCTCTCAGGCCATTGACACAAGAGATGCTTTGGCAAAATCAATTTATTCTTGCTTGTTTGACTGGCTAGTGGAACAAATTAATAAATCACTAGCGGTAGGCAAAAGGCGCACGGGAAGGTCCATCAGTATTCTTGATATATACGGTTTTGAATCCTTTGAGGTGTGTGTCTTTGTCCATGCTTCCATGAACTTCTATATGTTTTTTGCTTCCACAACTGTGATTGTTTCTTTTACTTTTTTTTTTCCTTAGAGGAATAGCTTTGAGCAGTTCTGCATTAATTATGCCAATGAACGATTACAACAGCACTTCAACCGTCACTTGTTCAAATTGGAGCAAGAGGTAGCCTCTTCAATCTTTTACACTGCCGTTATATAATATTCACAATCATTGGTGTGATATTTTGTTTTTTCTTTAAATCTTCTAGTTTCACTCGACTCTTAGTGATACATTGTTTTATTATTTAATATTCTAGCATATGTGCATATAAGTCTTTCTTTTCTTTCTCCATCCAGCTGTGCACAGGTAATTTGAAGGTTGTTCCGTCTTTAAGAGAAGCCGATTTGTCTTCAAATTTAGTTCAGACTTTATTGTAACATTCTCCTGCGAATGATCTTAGAAACCCTAGGCCCCATGCGTTATACTGAATATATAAACTATTAATGGTTATGGAATATCATATGCCGGCCGCTTGTTTTAAGTCATTTACATCACTTAGGTCCCCGGAAGCATCATTATGTGCAACTCCGGAATCGGAATGTTTTAGAAGCATTTTTTATGTTAAATTGTCCTTTTGAAGTGATTTGAGGGGATGTGGATGTCATGAATGGGGATTACTTCTGAAGTTTTCTTCAGGAATACATCCAAGATGGCATTGACTGGGCAAGAGTTGATTTTGAAGACAACCAAGATTGTCTCGAACTTTTTGAGAAGGTATGAAGTCAAATGTTCTTACTCTTCTTGTGCTGCCTAAGCTATTCAAGCTTTACATTCCATCGTATACTAATTCGATGTCAGTGTGCTTCTACTTATTGAGCCTAGTGGGCCCTTAATTGTTGATTTAAATTTTTGCCCATCGAGTTCCAAAACTGTTGAAGCCTTTTCCAAATGAGTTTTATTCATTCATTTTATCTTTGTTCGTTTCTTTTTGGTTGGAAGCTACCTATATGCCAGGATGCCAAGTTTCCCCATACTAGAGACTGATAATGTCATCTTTTCACTATGACGACAGATATATGTTCATTCGTGAGACATAACTAAACAATGTGTATAGATACATTTGACATAAGGTCTTCTCAACTTCTTGCGTTATGTGCGTTTATTAGTTTGTCCCTTAACCTCCTTATATCTTGTGCAGAAGCCGTTAGGGTTACAATCCTTGCTAGATGAGGAATCAACCTTTCCAAATGGCACTGACTTGAGCTTAGCTGATAAGCTTAGGCAACATCTAAAATCTAATCCTTGTTTCCAAGGAGAACGAGGGGAAGCTTTTACTGTACGCCATTATGCAGGAGAGGTACTCACTTTTCTTTTCACACTGAAAGGGAAACGGTAAAGAAAATATTATCAGTCTTGTTTTTTTTTCTTTTTTTTTTTTCTTGCAAAGCTCTAAAATTTGGTATGATTAAACTAATTTATAATGATTTGACAAACCATTTAAGCTGCACACTAATTTTTTCTCCTTTCGGAAATAAAACCCTGGTGCAACATATGAAAACCTTAAAATTGCAGCACTAATTTGGCCGACTGCTTTATCAGTTCCTCGCAAACTGTTGGGAACGCTGTTCATAAATATTATCTTAACACGCCTGTGCATGAGTTAACATAATTTCATGTTCATACTTCTCCTGAGTGAAAACTGTAACCCTGTGCTGGTATCAGGTTACATATGATACGACCGGTTTTCTTGAGAAGAACCGGGATTTGCTTCATTTGGATTCCATCGAACTTCTTTCTTCTTGCACATGCCACCTTCCTCAGGCTTTTGCATCCAGTATGCTCTCTCATTCTGAGAAGCCTGTGGTGGGTGCTCAGCATAAATCCTGTGGAGCAGATTCACAAAAATTTAGTGTTACAACAAAATTTAAGGTAAAAAAAAAAAAAAGTGTCAGTCATGGCGATTGGATTGATGTATGCTGTTTATACTTCATCATGATTATGTTGCCTCTTGCTATTGTTTTCAGGGCCAACTTTTCCAGCTTATGCAACGTCTTGAGAACACAACATCACATTTCATACGTTGTATAAAGCCCAACAACTCCCAGTCTCCTGGTTACTACAATCAAGGGCTTGTGCTGCAACAGCTGCGATGTTGTGGAGTCTTAGAAGTAGTTAGAATTTCAAGATCGGGTTTTCCTACCAGAATGTCCCACCAAAAGTTTGCTAGAAGGTAAAAACCACCATAAACCTTTACACATTTTTTTTTTTTCGTTCCATTGGTCACTTTAAGTTGTTTTATATCCTCCATCAGGTACGACTTCCTTCTTCTAGAGCATGTTGCTTCACAGGATCCACTCACTGTTTCAATGCACATTCTCCACCAGTTTGGCATTCTACCCGAGATGTATCAAGTGGGATACACAAAATTGTTTTTCCGGACTGGACAGGTGAGAATATCCCCCTCATTTTGGTTTCACTTTGATGTCGGCAGATTTCGCTTGGGCCAAGTAAGCAATAAATAGAACCGGTAGACTTAAGATAACGAAGAAAATGAGAAGGAGCAGGATTTATTCGTGGCAAAGGAGGATGGGATACAAGATACAGGCTACTTCTCAACTACTAAGCTTTGCCAGCCAGTAGGCTGAAACTCTAATCTGTTCTTTCGAAACGTAGTGTTTTGAAATGTTCCCACAGTTCTATCCCCAATATCCCGTAATTTCAGTTAATTTATTAGCTAGAATCATGAGCATTCATAGTTCCAGCCCCCTAATTATTTTCTGAAAACGTGCAAAGCCATCAATCAAGCCTAGTATCATATGGTTCTTTTATGTATCGATATTTCTTGTTCCCTTATCAAGTTATTTATTTAGGGCTAGAATAAAGAATTGAGTTGGGCCTTTGCTTTGGAACCCTCATCAGTTTCTATTTAGGTAGTAGGGTTAAGTCTCTAAAGTTATTGCGAAAAGGAATACAAAACAAAAGAAGAGTCATTCGGCTTAGGCAGGAGAAATCCAGACTGGCATTAACACTTGGGGAAGACTGCTGCAGTTGTCAATCAAATGCAACCTTTATCCTTTAAGACTGGCGTGGTTGAAAAGTCTAAGCATGCCGAGTTTTGATTGGAAAAATGAAAATTTCAGAAGGAACCGTATGTTGTTGTAGAGATTTGAAAAACTTTCGACCGGCAACACCATCTAATTTTCTTAAAACAAATGTATAAGAAGAATGATATAATGCATACATAAATAAATTAGTAGGCAACTGCTATCATGTTATCCTGGTCTCACCATTTTTATGGTCCATTTGCAAGATGAGGCAACAAGCACTCCGTGGCCACGGAATTCTGAAATTAGACCTTTTATAGTGGCAACTAGACAGAATTTGAAAAGGTTTGCCTTCATAATTATGGATCTTCATGCAGTGCCTGTTACTAAAGGTTCATTGTATAGAGTTATATGGAGAGATGCTGCCTCTTGCATAATTTTTTATATGTCTTTCCTAAAAAAAAAAAGAACTATACTGTACCTAAGATCCCGACACCGTGTTTCCATTTTTGTCTAAATCTTTAAGTAACTAGGTGTTGAAAGATGAAAATTGCCATTCTCCGACATATCATCTTCGTCCTTATATCATAGGGAGATAATCACGGGAATTCTGATGCTCTCTAATGTATACATTTCTTTTATATGAGTATTAGATTGGGTCACTAGAAGATACTAGAAATCGTACTCTCCATGGTATCTTACGCGTGCAAAGTTGCTTTAGAGGCCACCTAGCTCGCTGTCAAACAAAGGAATCAAGGAGAGGGATTGCGACCATTCAAGCATGTATGTCTTAATGGGAGACAAGATATTATGGTTCTATTTTTACATTGTAAATTTGTCTGAGATGTGGAACCCGCTGCTAATGCAGTTATTCGTGGTGAAAAGACTAGAAAAGAGTACGCAGACTTAATGAAGAAGCATAGAGCAGCTATAGCTATCCAAAAGTGTGTGAAAGCAAGGTCTTGTAGAGAAAAGTGGAAAAGAATAAATGAGGCGTCAACAGTAGTACAATCAGGTAACTTCTCTCTGTTTGACCCCAAGGCAAGCCTAATCTCTTCTAGGATTCAGTTTTTATTAATGGGGAAAGCTCTTCCCTATTCTTTTTTTTTCCTTACAGTTATTCGTGGCTGGTTGATACGAAGATGCTCGGGAGATGTAGCATTGCTGCAATTTGGAGGTGGAAAGGTACTCAAAGGTTTTTACCATGTCATATATCAGACAGCAATTGGGATTTGCATCGTTGTTCACACACACGCACACAATAATAATAATAAAAAAAAATACACACATATTTACCCCCTCCATTTTACATCAAGTGCCCTTTTAAAGCGGCTTGATTTTGTTACAAAATAAATGCCAGTGTACAAATTTTCACCACAATGTCCCAACTACTTATTTCAAGAATGAAAACAAAATTACGATAGTCAAAATATAATGAGAGAATGAGAAAAAGGCAATGTTCATACTTTGGTGTTCCTTAATTCTTAATGGAACTGAGAATTAATACGAAACAATTGTCATAGATAACATACATATGTACATAGATGGTGATTTTTTATGGTTTTGGTAAAACGGGCTGGCTATTCAGGGTACTGAGGTGTTGGTGAAATCATCTTTCCTTGTGGAGCTCCAACTGAGGATTCTAAGGGCTGAATCTGCCGTGAGAGAGAAAAACGGAGAGAATGATGCACTTGGGCAGCGGCTGCAACAGTACGAAAACCGTTGGTCAGAATACGAATCGAGAATGAAGTCTATGGAGGAGATGTGGCAAATGCAGATGAGGTCTCTTCAGTCGAGACTTTGCATTGGGAGCCATAGCCATAGCCATAGCCATCTCAACTTGTGTGATGATGAGGAGGAAGGTGATGAGGAGTTTGGCGGCAGCAGCAGCAGCACAGGGCTTAGTGTGATTGGCCGTCTGGCTCAGGAGTTTGAGCAGAGGAGTCAGATATTTGGGGACGATGCCAAGTTTTTGGTTCAAGTGAAATCGGGTCAGGCTGAAGGGAGTTTGGACCCGGACCGTGAGCTTCGCAGATTGAAAAACATGTTTGAAGCTTGGAAGAAAGATTATGGTGCGAGGCTCAGGGAGACTAAGGTTATTCTAAACAAGCTTAGTGCTAATACCGATGAACAAGGATCATCCGCAGCTGATAAGTTCCGCAAGAAGTGGTTTGCTAGGAGGAACAGCACAAGATTTAACTAAAACTATATATATAAATTATAATCTCAATTCTTACATTCTTATTATATTTTTTCTTTTTTTTTTTTCTTCAGCAAACAATTAATTACTTGAAAGTATTTTATTGTATATTTACAAATCTTTTTGTCCAAATTTGTATACATACAAGTTAAAAAGGGTGGACTCTGTGAGTTAAAAAGGGTGGACTTTGTGTGTGTTCTATCGTAATGGTTGAGAAGTCTTATACCGGTATGTGACTGAATACGGGTTTTGGGGACTTGTACCTTGTATTTTGAACTTGTACTGGCGTTAGCGTTATTTTTTCAACAGTATATACTGATTTATTCCCTGTACGTCCAACAACCAATGTCATAATGTGTATATATATATAAAATATAAAGTTAAAAACCTAACCTAATAACTGACAAAATTTGATATTATCACTTCTGTCCCGTTGTGTACAAACGAGGATAAGAACGTGTCCTGTTCTGCAGGAGCTGGCGGCCACACAAACAAATTGTTTTGTAACTTGAAATTCTTTCCAAACTCGAATAAAAATATAAACAACTAATTAATATAGAATTTTGACTAGAAGTAGAAGTTCTTATTAAACTGGCAAATATATTAGCAGTCAACAATTGCGTCAATTATGTACCAAATCCAACACTGATTTTTCCATTGCAAGAATTAGCAGTTTAAAGTAAGCATGACTCGTAAGTGTTTACAAATAAGCAAAACTCTAGCCAATATTAATGAGTTGATATGAGAGAGAGAAATACATATTTGATTGCACGTGATCCTTGGGATAATAATAATACATTGTAATCTGGCCTTATTTATCGCCCTATGATTCGTTATATATACATAACATTGTATAACATTCGTGATTAAAAAAAAGACTTTTGCTTAAACAAAATAATTAAGATGAATTTTATTGGAGGTTTATTAGCAATGGTCACGGTGATGGGTGTGTGGGAATGTGGTTCACCATCTCCCATACCGCGGCAGCAGGTGGCGGACCGTGTCGGCCGGTTGCCCGGACAGCCACCTGTCAGTTTCAGGCAGTATGCCGGCTATGTCACTGTTAACCAAACTAATGGCAGAGCCCTCTTTTATTGGTTTTTTGAAGCCACCAAGCAACCCCATAACAAACCTCTCGTCCTTTGGCTCAACGGAGGTAAAGAAATTATTTCTAGATTTCATCACATTATTTTTTTTCTTTTTTTTCATTACATGAGTTGGTAAATCAATTTATACATTAATTTAAATAAATTTGATAATAATATTTAAATTAAGTAGTGTACCCTTTTCAATTAATATAGCAAACACTAGTCATATAAGAAATTCTTTCTCAACCATAACATGGTTTTACGTTAATCTTGTAGATCTACTCTAAATTCAATGATTCGCTTATATTTAACTTATAATGATATTAGAGAAAATAAATAAATGAAACATTATAGTTACCGTTGATCATATATATGTGTGTGTTTATTCAGGTCCAGGATGCTCATCAATAGGCTATGGGCAATCAGAAGAGCTGGGACCTTTCTATCCTCAGAAAGGGACGAAGCCAGAGCTCAAGTTCAACAACAATACGTGGAACAAAGGTACTGATCACAAGTCACAACACAATTATATAATATATATTTAATCCCTATTCCAATACATAATAACATTATTATATTCTATATAGTGACTTGTTAATTTGTCCTTTGCCTGATAATTATTTGACAGCGGCCAATTTACTGTTTTTGGAATCTCCCGTTGGCGTTGGATTCTCATATACAAACACAACTAGTGATCTCAGTGGCCTTGGTGACAATAGTACAGGCAATTATCATTATCCTATTTACTCTTTGTACAATTGTACTCACATCATACATAAATTCATTTATTATTTACTGACATATATATTGCTTTTTGTTATTAAATTAGCTTTGGATTCCTACATTTTTTTGGTGAATTGGTTCCGAAGGTTCCCACAATATAAATCTCATGACTTTTACATTGCTGGGGAAAGTTACGGAGGTACGTAGATGTATTAATATACTATCCACATCACATATAATTACATGTTTTTTTTTCCTGATTTTTTATTAATTTATTTATTATCTCAGGGCATTACGTCCCTCAGCTTGCGAACATTGTCGTTGAGAAAAACAAAATTGCACTTGAAGACGACCAAATTAACATCAAAGGGATTTTGGTACGATGGATTTTCTTAGTTAGTAGTGTATTAATTAAAATGGAAGGAATTTTGGTTAATGTGTAAAATTGGGCGGGCAGATAGGGAATGCAGTGCTGGACGATGAAACAGACCAAAAAGGATTGATAGAGTATGCGTGGGACCATGCGGTTATATCGGACTCATTGTACGATGAGATTAAGAGAGAATGCAATTTCAACAGCTTAAACTTGACGGTGCAATGCAATGATGGTCTGGATAAGTACTTTGAGGTGTATGACATCATAGATATGTACAGTTTGTATACCCCTGTTTGTGCTGATGATGACAATGGTACCACCATTTCCAAACCCTCCGGTATTCCCAAATTTTTAACTAAAAATAATGTGAGTTGATGATGGTTTATTGTTTCGGCTAATTTTTGTTTCATCTGTTGTCCAATATTATTATCATATAACCCTTTATTCTTTAGCAGTATGGAAGAAGGAGGCCGTTATCTGGGTACGACCCTTGTGCCTCATCGTATACTTCGGTTTATTTGAACCGAGCAGATGTCCAACGTGCTCTTCATGCTAACGTAACTGGAATTCGTTATCCCTGGACACACTGCAGGTAATAATAAACATTATTTTATTTGTAGGAATTTGAACTAGTACGTAGCTATCGCACGGATTAGAAATATTAAATGAGTCATTTCTATAGAACCTGTCTATTTATGTCTTTTGATCATAACATTAAACCCGAACCTATTAGCCCTAGTCTATAAATTAATTAGTATATTTTCCTGCTAAAATATTTATGTTAATATATATTTTGATTTTAGTATATATATTTATTCCTTAATATAAGAAAAAAAATAACAGTTTTACATATTCTTGTTCACCATGTAATACTTAATTTGTTATTTTATTACAAAATTTGTTGTCATATAATTTTATTATAATCTTTTTATAAAATTATAGAAGCAGTCTTCTTTTTCTTATGTAAAAAAATATGTAATATATGTCAATATTATTTTAAATATAGTTAATATAAATTATGTAAATAAATTTAAAATAAAATATCGTGTATAAATATTTTACAAAATATACACACATTTTCTTTAGAATTTATTTTTTTATTATAATTTAACAACTTTGATTAACATTTGTTAAAAACTAAATCCCTTCTATAATCAATAGATTTTTCTAATTTGCATCATAAGGTTTTATAGTTTATTTAACATACCACGCAATGGAAATATATTTTATAAGAATTTCATTATGGAAAGAGATAAAAAAGAACAAAAATCATAGTTGACATAATATACAAATAAATTACACGTTGAAATTCTAAAGAATAGTTAGTATATTTAAATTTAATTATCTAGTCATTACTAAAATTATTTAATGTATCTAGTCATTATCTCTTAAATTTTAAATTATATTAATTTTAAGAATATATTATATATTTAATGAAATAAATTTTAAGAAAAAATATATTTAAATTGATTAGTTCACTAACTTGATTTTGCCTAATTAATTGGAAGAAAAAAGTTTACTTAACTTGTTACGATTTTTTTATAAATTTATTAGGATGAAAAGTCAATATTTATGAAAAAAATATAATGATATGGTTAGAACTGAGAATATGTTTTTATATTTATTTTAACCAAAATATTATCAACATGAAGCATGAAAAATCAATTTTGTAGTTTATTATTATATATATACATTAAATTATTGCAGATGTTAATAATATTATTCAAAGTAAGAATCTTTTTTATCATATTTAATTTGATCTGATTAGGAAACATTATTTAGAAGCAATTAATGCATATATTTAAAAAAAATCTAATAAAGAAGGTATGCATTAAATGTTCTCAGATTTTTTTGCTACTATTTTTAGTAAATAGTTATTCTTATTATATAGATATAGATAAGTTTAATTAATTAGCATTGTTGCCCCATTTTGTATACTTGATGATGATATATCAGCGATGCTATCACGAAGTGGAATGATGCACCTTTCTCCATACTTCCTATTCTGAGACAACTTATTGCTGCAGGACAACGCATTTGGGTTTTCAGGTAGTTCGGAAATATTCAAAATATATATAGTTTAGTTGTGAATTGTGTTTTGTGTTGTGTTGTGTAAAAAATGAGATGAATGAATGTACAGTGGAGATACAGATGGTAGAGTACCAGTTACAGGAACAAGGTACAGTTTAAAAAAATTGGGGTTGCGAGTGAAACAGGATTGGACTCCATGGTATACTTACAACCACCAGGTATACATTACATTCTCTTATGCATGTACAGATTGATGCAATGAATAAATTAAATTAAGTTGAAATGATATTTTACTTATTTATGCAGGTTGGTGGATGGACGGTTGAGTACGATGGTCTGACATTTGTGAGTGTAAGGGGAGCTGGCCATCAAGTTCCTACTTTTAAACCAAGACAAGCCCTTCAACTCCTCCGACATTTTCTCAATAACCAAACCCTTCCCTCTCAACCCTTTTGACCACAAAATCTATACATAGCTATCCATTTATCTCTCTACAAAGAAAGAAAGAAGAAAGAAGGATGTAAGAACTAACTTTGATCTATTATTTTTTATTAAACATTTATATAATTATGTGATTGGCTGTTGCAAGTATGATTTTGTTGATCTATGTATTGAAAATTCCAACTCCAACTGGTGACTCGTTATTTGGATGCATCAATTCCAACTCCGGCTGGTTCAAAATGATCTGATCTTGGCCATCCAAAGCTATCTTGATTTATCATTCATAATTTAAATTATCAATGTTTTAAGTGGGAAACTAATGGTTGATTCGATTTTAGTTTAAAGCCATTCAAAGTTACCACATTATGGTTGAAATTTACATACTTATACTAATTAGAATCTTGTCTATGAGAAATTATAAATAGTTTTATATATTAATTTCAAAAAATGAATATTGGTTATAATATGATAATAGACATCCTTAAACTAATTGTAAAGTAGATTTTAATTGGATTTCTATTTTTAACTATAATATTTAGGGTGGAAAATACATACCTAAAATAGATACAATAAGTTGTGTTGTTATATAAATACAGATAAGATACAGATTTTTATCTAACCAACAAAAAATTATCATATTTAAATGAAAATGAAAGAATAAATGTTCACATTTTCACTCACTTTTTTTGTCCTTCACAAATTTCACTAACGTTGTTAGAAAAAAAAATTAACTATTATTATTATTATTATTATTATTATAAAATGAACAATTTAGATATTTCTAACTGGATATTCATTATTTTTGCACCATAATAATTTCAACTATTATATTTTTATTTTATATTTATGATAATTTTAAATTTCTTTTATTTTACAAAATTCCCTAATTGAGACAAAATTCTTTCTCACTATATATATGTCTAATTTAACACGCCCTATAATTTCGCAAAGTTTGGGGTGGCGCGATTGAGCGAGCTGTTCCCGCCATAGACAGCTGAGGAATCAATGGCAGCTCCTTCTAAAACCCTAATGGATTTCTTACAGCGGCCGGCTGCGGCGAAGCGTCTCAAGACATGCTCTGCGACTTCTGATGGCCCTCTTTCATCATCGTCAGCAGCTGCTATTTCCTCGGACCAGAAGCAAAGAATCGAATTCAACAGAGCCCTCGCCTTATCCAAGCGAAACTTCAAAATCTGCTCTGATAAACTCTCCAAATCAGATGCTTCAGGTACGTTGATGTTTTACTGTTGAAATTTGAATCAGTTAGGTCACCCAAGCGCCAAGCCTGATTATATTCTGATGCTTTGTTTCTTTCAATGAAATATTTCTGTAGCATTTCTTATTGTGTTTCTTCTACCAGTATAATAGTTGTGTTAACTGTGAATTTTTTACTAATAGTTAGTCTTTTCGAATCCATCAATGCATATTGTAAATTTAACACCTGAGAGTGTTGTTCTTGTGTGATATGGGTATGAAGGCGTGCCGTATGTAAAGTTGGAAGAGCTACTGGTGGAGGATACATGGTTGAAAGTGCTAGCAGGGGAGCTGCAAAAGCCTTACGCAAAAAAGCTGTGTTCGTTTGTGGAAAATGAAATATACCATGGCAGCATACCAATTTACCCTCCTCAGCATCTGATTTTTAATGCACTTAACACGACTCCATTTGACCGAGTTAAGGCTGTAATTATCGGACAGGTATACATTGTGTTTGGATTGGAAACGGGTGCGCTCGTAGTAATCTAAGTTACTGTACTATTGCACAAGGAACATTGGGTCTTCATACAAGATAATTAGTCAATGCTGACCTTCAAATTTTTTTTAATCCATATATAATTTTGCTATATTATCATCAATGTAACCGCAACTACAACACATCACCTGATTTGAAGCTGCATGCTATTTGATGCATGCGTAAGAGAAAATGAAGAACCATATTGTGTGATCCTTGAGACTCATTTATTCATGATCAGGTAAGGAATGTGACCTGTCAAATTCTGTTAATTCTTTTGTGCTTGACGTTATGTCCTTCATCTAAATTCTTTTGTGTGTATGCTTTTTTGTGTGATAGATGAAACATATAGTTCCTATTCCTATTTCAGTACCTAATTGTATATCTTACTTCCACCTGTGGCTATTTATTGAACTCAATTAGTGGTAACTTCAGTCGATATAGCAGTTTTACGTTTTTGTTAATCGGTGATTTCATTTTTTCGAATCTTACTAGGACCCATATCATGGGCCAGGCCAGGCAATGGGGCTCTCTTTTTCTGTTCCGGATGGTGTCAAAGTCCCTTCAAGTCTTTTAAACATATATAAAGAACTTCATCAAGATTTGGGATGTTCAATCCCAGCTAAAGGGAATCTAGAAAGATGGGCTGTTCAGGTAAAGAGTTGCATCTGTAGGGCTAGAACACATTGTTTGTTATTTTGGCTGCCTGAGCCACGTATCTATACTTGCAATTCTAGCTCTTCAAAATTATATAATTTGTCACCTTAAGAATTTTATTGGGTAATTTTCAATTTAATAAGATGGTCTCAAACTATACCAAATTCTTGTAATATAGAACTTTGAGCGTTTCACAACTTATGAAAATATTCCCTTGGTTAGTATATCTGGACCATTGAAATATTGAGCAACCAAATTTACTTTTTATTCAATGCAAAATAAGGCTTTCCAAAGCCTTTGGCGTTTATTTGACTGCTTGTTCTCACGCAGGTGTATTTTTCTAAATGTTTAAATTTAGTTGCAAGATTGAGAAACGGGGATTTTTCTTGTGGTGGTACTTTTAGCTATCGCAAAGTATCTCGAACAGGAACATTTCCACTCGAACACATGTAATCATGTCTCAGGAGTCGCTCAAAATATAGCCGATGATTTTTTCACTTTTCCGTTATCCTTTAATTAGATTATCATAAATTAGTGTGTTCCAGACTTTTTACTAGACAGTTGTTTGTCCTCTTTGGTATTCCCATGAATTGCTGTAGCTCAATAAAATGAACAAATTTTGGTTTCTTTGTTCAACAACTTTGTAAATTGTTCGTGTTGGACATAATGAGTCAAATATGTGTTGTCTCAGTTTTATGTCTAACTAAGCCCAAGATATACCAGTTATATCCACTTTACCTCTGAATTGTGGGTTTTAAGTTTTACTTGGTGTTTCCAGTTGCTTCATTTTTTCTAACCACAATTGAATGTGAATTCATATTATATGTACTCTTTTCCATAATGAGTGACACGCTTTTCTTGATTCTAGGGTGTTCTCCTGCTAAATGCTGTTCTAACTGGTACGCTGCTTGTATACTGTTTTTGTTTCTTCTTTTTTCTTTTGAGTTAAACTGCCTTTCAAATGTAAAAAAAGAGCGTTGACGAAAACTTCTTCATTCCTTTGTTTCTTAGTTTTCTTTTCCTTCCTCCCCTTGCTCACCTTCTTCT